AGTGTAAAGAGGTATAAGCAACATTTAGTGTTCAAATAGTCAACTCCTTAAGGATCAGTCACCCTTATTTGTTGCAGATGGAGAAAAGGAACTCTGAGTAATAACAAGCCGCATGACCTTTGTGGTGTGTGAGTAGTCAGTTCAGTCTAATGGATTAGGAATCTCTTGTCCATCCTACTCTGTTTCTATCTCTTAAGTAAAAACAAAGTTTTTATTCTAAATTATACCACTGGGTGGTTCATTTGGTGTGTTTTTTTTAGCAGAGCTAAATTGATGAATGTTTTGAAACTATAATAAATCAAAACAGCTTCATTGAGAAATAAAAAGAAATTCATATAAATGTAATTTAAGCCTACATTTTAAGGCTTTATGTTTTAAAAATAAAAATGGCATTGTCAGAGTGTGCTCTTTAACCAAATATACAGGAAACTTATAGCGTAGGAAATTTATTATCCCCTGGGTGTTAGGAGACCAAAATTACAACTTGCTTAGCAAATGTGAAAAGTAATGTCTCCTGCTGCACAGTAACTTGCCTTGTATCAATTCATTTTTTGGTTAGTATCAAGTTATAATATATTCACCTATAATCAAGATATATTCACAGTAGTATTAAAGGAAGTACTGTGTATTTCACAGTTGGTAAGTCATGAAATCATTTTTTCATGACTAAATCATTGCTTTTATGTGTGTATTCAAATTAATCTATAGAACCATTTAATTTTGCAATATACAAGGTTACTATAGAGTATTGTCAAAGCTTGGCATTTTAGCACCACCTATACAGAAATACTGGACCAACAATATTCTAGTTGCCTACTGTGTTCAGAATATTATTTTAGAAATAAGGAAAGCCTGTTCAGAGAGACTGTAAATTACCATCTTTGTGATTTAAATGAAAAAGTAAATTTGCCTCATAAAGATTTTAGAAGCTAATGAAACAGTATTACACACAGATATAATGACAGTGAAAACTGTAGGTGAAATTTGGAGGCAAATGAACTGTCAGTGACAAGTTTAACTTCCTAGAACAAAATTTCTGTCAGAAAAGTTTTTATACTGTTTTAAAGGAAGAAATGAGTCGTTGTCGTCGTCATCACCATTTCGCCCCCCCCCACCTCCCCAC